GCCGCCGCCGCCGCCCCCGCCCCCTCCCCTCCCGTCGTCATAGCCCCAGTGGCCTGAGTGCTGGGAAGGACTGAGTGACTGATGGGCGGGACCTGCCCCCACCTACATAAGCAATCTCTCTGCCATGTGCCTCCTGGGTGCTGTGTCTGCTCACCTGCTCACGAAAGAGGGCTGATCTGTCCCCGACTGCTTTTCATAACTTCATCATGAAGTTTGGGAAGTCGTAAAGAAAAGGGAAGTTCAGGGCTGCCCTTCCCAGGGCTCCTTGTGCCAATTGCAATTTAGAATTTCCCACGCTTCTGAAACCAAGGGAACATAATTTCGAAGGAGACACAGCTGAAGGAAGGGATGTCTATGAAAGCAAAAATATTAATAACGTAAAAACTGGGAGCGAATTCCAGCAAGACACTGCCCTTTGCATGGAAAGGCAAGCCCTCTGCACTTTACTCCATCCCCCTGCCCCTCCGTGCTGTGGACTGAACTCACACATATAGGCCGGTACAATTTATATCGCTGAGCTATGGTGTTTTGAAACTATACTGGTATTGCTCAAAGGATGCTTCACAGGGGTCCTCACCTGAGTTTCTCTTTGTGTCATTGGAAGGATGGAGGGAGTGGGATTCAGCCTTAGGTGTTGTGGTATCTGGTATCTATAGTGTCTTCCCGCTCAAAATGGCACAAGTCTGCTCAACTGTGGACATTCACCAGCCTTAACTTTGCTATTTAGTCATCATAGAATTTGACTCATGGCTTTGCAGAGGAAACACATATTCTTGGAGGAAAGCATGCTTGTGATAGTTGATTTGGGAATGACAGGGCCGGTGGACATGATAGGAAGGGGTCCCCCTGGCACCAGGCTGCACCCAAGGACCTGGCAGGCTGCCGTGAATGTCTGTAGGTCTTCCTAAGGAATGGCTCTCCCGTCATGAGCTGTGCTGATAGCCGGCAGGGGGACTGGGCACACACGTTCCAACAGCTCCAAGAAGAGAGTTGGAAGGGGAGTCATTGTTACTTCTTATTTTAGCCAATCATCGTGTTTGCATAGTTTGAAGAGAGGATTTGTCCAGATAACTAGGTATGATGAAGAATTTCCAGGCAACAGTTAGACGCTTTTATCTGAAGGACATAGAGAAACCATGTGTGGTGATATGCCTAAAAGAGTCACCTGCTGCTTACAATTCGGGGGAAAAATGATTTAGGGGAAAAAAGGTAAAGCCATTTTTTTTAAATAAAAAAAAATAGAAGCCATTAACTTCTAGGAAATGAACTCGAGGATTGTCTTAAAAATAGACTTGAGGCCAGGCAGTGAAGGCACATGCCTTTAATCCCAGCACTTGGTGGTGGTGGTGGGGGCGTGCAAATCTTTGAGTCTGAGGCCATCCTGGTCTACAGGGCAAGTTCTAGAACAGCCAGGGCTACACAGAGGAAAACCTGTCTCAAAAAATTTAAAATGAAAAAAAAAAATAGACTTGGGGGTCTGGAGAGATGGCTCAGTGGTTAAGAGCATTGGCTGCTCTTGTAGAGGACCTGAGTTCCATCACCCCAGCACTCACATGGTGGCTCACCACTGCCTGTCACTCCAGTTCCGAGAGATTTGGCCTCTCCTGGTCTCTGTGGATACTATACACACAGAATACATACGTGTTGGCCAGACACATACATAACATAAAAATAAATAAATCTTTAAAAAATATACTTGAATATAACCTACTGGATCTGCCACCGAGGAATAAGGGGGAAGCTTGGTTAGACAGGAGGGGTCTCTCACTCAGAGGAATGTGTGTCAGGGATGAAGCCTCAGTTTCCCCCACCAGTCAGGGAAAGAAAGAAGTAATGCATACTGAGGACTCCTAGCATACATTCTATCATGGTGGCCTCAGTGTGGCCTGAACTCTGTCAGTAAGGCAGCCTGGAGTGCCACCTGCCTCTGCCACATCAGCCTCAGGGATGGGCACAGCAGTCACTTCAACTGGCTTTCCAACTGACACCGGGGATGGGTCACATGTCAGAGGTTTGGAGTGGGTAGACTCCCAGGTTCTTTGCATCCTTAAAGTTTAGAAAACACACACACACACACACACACACACACACACACACACACACA